CAGATGGCATTGGGCTGGGGAAGGTGCGTGCTTCCAACCCTCACCGCTCTGTGATCCAGAAGGGTGGGGGTTTTATTATTTTCTCGAGGGTTGAATTCGGTTTGAAGCCACGGAACGCGTTTGCTGTGGTAGATTTCAAAGACGCTGAAGCTTCGTCCAAGTTTGTGCGAGTGTTTGGAGGCAGAGGGCAGCAGTGGAATTTAATCTGCGCTGTATTTAGTAGTTAATGGACTTGAAGAGCTTAGTCACTGATGATACCTACTCTGTGCTTTCAAAGCGTGTGTGCATGTGTATAAAATGCTGACTTTCTTAGCCCGTAGTGGTCCATCTTCCTAGATATAGCCAGTGCTGTCGGCTGTACCTGTCTAAAATGCAAGTATTTCGGCAGGTGCTTCTTCAGAGGCTTTAATTTGCAGTTCAGCGAACCTGAAATTTCTTCCTGTGCTACAGAAGTCATCAGAAATTCCAGTCTTTGAATTTTCGGGGTGAGTGTCCATACGTGATTCTCACCAAGAGATTGAAAGGGAAAAGGAAGAAACAATTCTAGAGGTAATTAATTGTTAAGCGATCCCGAAACAAAAAGTTTCAAAACACATTCAACGCCGGTGAAAAATGAGAACAGCCCTGGCAGATTTGGCTCTGTTAAGGGAGGAGATGCACAGTTGTGTGGCGTGACTGGAAGCAGGTGCTGCACAAAATGGGACTACTGGTGGTGCTGCAGCGCTGCTGCTGTCCCCGGCAGAGCTGTGTCTGGTGAAACAGACACGTTTACGGATAGCAGGGGCTGAGGAGCGGTAGGAGAAGTGAGAAACTGGTAGCCGTAAGTTGGCAGTCATACAATGCACTGCTATTAAAAGGTAAATCTTGTAGTAGGAAATACGCCCTTATCATGTTTAAAGGCAAAGAGGAAAGTTTTAGGTATGTGTGGAAAGAATAATAAATCAATATTACAATGTGTATGTAGGTAAGTGGTGTTGTCAAATATTTCCATTCCATATTTGAGAATAATATTTGTCTTGGCACTTTATAATAATTGCTAAATACTTTTTGATCTGATAGTAAGCAGGGAAGATGCAGAACACTGATTATTCATGTCAAAACCTTCTTAATGTGCGAGGTTTGATCGCTACCCCAATGAGTTTTCAGAGAATTGAGCAAAGAATGAACAGTACTAACAATTTAAATACTGAAT